CGGGATCCCAACGTATGGCCGAACAAACCACCCATAGCCGAGTAGGCAGGTAGGATGGGTGGGGAAATTCTGGGAGTTGAAGTCCACCCATCTTCAAGAGGCCAGGGTTGAGAAATACTTTTTTAAAGGGTTCTTTTAGCAAGCTGTACAGAAAAGGAAAGGGAGAGAGAGGGAGAAATCCTATGCAAGGCTCAGCTTCAGCATCCTTGGCATCCCAAAAGCAAAACCGATCACCTGGCGCAAGATGCCCACGGGACTTTCTTCCCGGTTTTCTTGGCGACTTTATACCTTTCTTGGGGGCAGCTGGCTTGATGAAATAGGGCAGGTTCTTCATGGCCCCCCTCAGTTCTTGCTTCAGGGCCAGCATATACTCAACCTCCTCCCCAGCCTGCAGTGGGACCGGCTTGTATTCCAAGGGCTGCAGAAATAACCAAGATGGTCAGACAAAGCGTGTCAGGCTCCCTTCACCCAAGATGCTTCACTCGGCTACTTGGTTAACCCATTTTCTGGGTAGGGCTGAGACCCTGAACCGCCCACGGCCCAAGCAGGGGTTCCCACAACGTGGGAATCCCCCCCAACACGCCACCGAGGCTTCGTGCGTTGTGAGAATGCAGTCATGACCCCTTCCGCTGATCAAGCAAGAGGGTTGCGGGAGTCCAGCCTGAAGAATGGCGTGCTTTGCAACCTTGGATTGCAACCTTGAAGTCCATGCATCTTAAAGTTGCCAAGGTGGAGAAACGCTGACATAGACACTTGACAAATACATAAAATAAATAATTAACACACTGATTTTCGCTTTCCGGTATGGGGCTTTTCCACCTGCTATTGGAAACATTTAGCACATGGATTTGTTTCCTAAATAAAGCACCCAACCCTGATGCAAAAACTCCCATCATCTCGTGAGAGCCCCAAGTTGGAAAAGGAGGCTTTATTTGATAAACTAACTAATACATTCAATATTTCAAGCCCGGAATAGAAAAGGCCTCTGGCTGGGAAGATCCAGTCTCCTTCGAGTCGATCTTAACTCGCTGGTACAACCACGCGGGCTTTTTTTGCAGCAACGCGGAATGGGGTTGCCCTCTTCGCAATGTTCTTTCAGCTTCCCAGTTGGCTTCCGCTCTGGGATCTCCTGGTGGTGCCCCATCCAAGGGTTAACTAGTCTGACCTCGCTTAGCTTGTTCGGCCAAGGCTGGGTAGGTGCTGTTGGACGCCCCCCTGCCAAAAGATTGAGGAAGGCAGAAGGAAATGGGACAACTCACGGGGAACAGGGGTGACGGCTGCAGAGTAGGGGGGGGCAACGCTTCCCCCTTTGCAATGCCCACAGCCTCAACGTTGAACGTCATGGGGCCCCCCCGGCCTCTTCCTCTGCCGCCTCTGCCAGCCATGATGGTCCTCTGGGGAAAAAACACAAAAAGATGACTGACAGTAGGAAGACAAGAAGCCCCCCAAGAAGAGAATGGGGCTGCAATTAGGCAACATGCCGTTTGCGTAGCTGTGTTTTTCATCCTTGGCGACTCAGTTACGTGGACTTCAACTCAGTTATGTGGACTTCAGTCATGTGGACTTCAACTCCCAAAATTCCCTAGCCAGCATGTCTGGCTGGGGAATTCTGGGAGTTGAAGTCCACCCATCTTCAATTGGGCAAGTTTGAAAAACCCTGATTTGAACTGTCCTTTCTGCAGACCTAGCTTTCTACTTGCAGGGAGCCTATTTCTTACGGTGGTCGTTCCTGCTGTTCTCAAGGCGGACTGAAACGCCCTCCTCGCCCCCTCCTCCTGCAAAGGCAACGCAGGCAGCCCACCGCCCTTTCTCCAGCTTACCCGCTCCTCCCCAGCGGAGGACCGAGTGCTCCCCTCCCTCGTCTCCCTTCGGTCCGCGTCCGCCGCCTCCTTCCGCGAGGGAACCGCGCCGCCGAGGCCGGATACTCGACATTCGAAAGGGCGGAGCCTCTGCCCAGGCAGCCAGTAAGAGAGAGGAGGGGGAGCGGAGCTCACCTACTCGACATTCGAAAGGGCGGAGTCTCTTCCCAGGCAGCCAGTAAGAGGGAGGAGGGAGTGCGGAGCTCAGATACTCGACATTCGAAAGGGCGGAGCCTCTGCCCAGGCAGCCAGTAAGAGAGAGGAGGGGGAGCGGAGCTCAGATACTCGACATTCGAAAGGGCGGAGCCTCTGCCCAGGCAGCCAGTAAGAGAGAGGAGGGGGAGCGGAGCTCAGATACTCGACATTCGAAAGGGCGGAGCCTCTGCCCAGGCAGCCAGTAAGAGAGAGGAGGGGGAGCGGAGCTCAGATACTCGACATTCGAAAGGGCGGGGCCCCTGCCCAGGCAGCCAGTAAGAGAGAGGAGGGGGAGCGGGGGCGTGGTCTGCAGCGCTGCTGGAGAGAGGGCGAGAAGGAGGCGGGCTGTTGTTTTAGCGCCTGTTTTTACGCTGGAGCCGCCAAGCTTTGGGCTCCGCTGTTTCACTGCGGCTGGGGATCTCAGTCCCCATAATCCACAGCCTTTGAGTAGGCGACCCCAGGGTCATGGGAGTTGAAGTCCAATACTCTACCCTGGAAAAGTGCCACGGCCGCGCTTCCTCGGAGGTAAGTCCTACTGGATGGAAAGGGAAGAGAACTCGGCCGCTTTAGCGTGACGAAAGGGAAACGCAAGCCTTCTTCCGGTATTTTTCTTCCCCCTACAGATGGGGATCACCTGGTGGTCTCCATTCTAGTACTAAGCCTGCCCAACTCGATGGCCTTTTTCAAGATCAGGAAATGGGACCGGGGGTGGCTGGTGCTGCCTCGCCTGGGAATCTAAACAAGGTTGGACCTGGTTTGGACTTGCATGGAAGACCATTGGGAAGGGGAGGGCAAAGCTGTGTTGTACTGCTGCCTAGAAAATCAGGTGTGTCTGTATGAAGTAAGCTAAATAAAATAACATAAAATAAATGTTTCATTTCTCTTAGTTTGATTTGCTTAGTGAATTTACGCCATCCCACCTTTCCTTTAAGCTCAGCTAGGTGGCAGCCTCTAGCCATCCTTGGCTGGTCAGAAAAACTCAGCGGGACTGGACTGGGACAATAATGGGATGGGGCACCACCTGGAGATCCTAGGAATTGAGTCAATCTGGGTAGCGGCCTTACCTTTGGCTTGCTGGAAATGGCTGACCAAACACCCCGGCTGTGTTTACAGAACATCTGATGTCCAAACTGAGACACCTTATGATGGCTTCACAGGTTGGCCTGGTTCCTACGACATAGTGGAGCACAATTTATCCAAACCTGGTCTAGTCTGTTGTATGAACCCAGGGCTGACTTTGGGGACGCCAGCCAGGGGATGTGTTCACACAGCTTACCAAAGCAAGTACCTGCCACTGCATTTGAGCTGGGTTAGCGTTTACTTTATTGTGGCTAGTGTGGCTTAGTAAAACTTTTTGTTTTCCAATGTATTGTGCTGACTCTACAAGTGAGTTACCGTAATTCTTTTAATATAATTTTATTAAACGTTTTAGAAAGAAGATAAAAGCTAATAGAAACTAACGTAAGTAAGTAAATGTAAAAGAGGGAGTTCAAAGAAAGAACAAAAAGGGCAAAAACAAAGAAGCAGCTTCTGGTTTTCTTTACAGTGGTTGTAAGTACAATTATAAGTTTACCTCTTACTCTATGGCAGTGTTGTCCAAACTTGGCCACTTTAAGATGAGTGGACTTCAACTCCCAG